ATGGATCACGTGGCTGTACCTTTTCCACCTACATGGGATGGGTAATTATTGTATATTAAAGTGTGATTCTTTCTTTTTCCTTAATGTTAATCTTCCCAAACTGGCCCCCTCTCACGTGCGTCCATAAATGTTGTCCTCCCACCGTGGTTGCGATGGCTGATTAGAGCGTGCTGTTTGATTTCTGCTGCAGAAGGCAATGCGATTATAACAAACAACAGCTATTTTCCCTTTCCAGTCTTTATTTGTGTTTCCTTAAAATAGAGTTTGAACAAATATTTTAAAGGTGCGAAATTATTAGAAGATACTATTTGAAATGAATGTTATAGAAATATCTTGGCATAATGGCCACACAGTACTTTATTGCTTGGCAGACAAGAGAAGAGGTGTATAGGAAAGTAGCACATTAGTATTGGTGACTGCTTATTTCGCCCAGTATAAGAAGTGCAGTGTGTACAAAGAAGTATATTCTGAATACGTTATCCCCATGCATTTAGCACAAATAAATCGTTGGGTTTCACTTCAAAGTGGAACACTGTGAGTCACGCTTTTCTTAAGACTGCAACATCTTTATTTTTGCTTTTCGGCAGTTACTGTTTTGTACTTTGGTAGTAAAGTGATTTTTACCACCTGTGTTTGCATATTTATATATGCTGTGGACGGAAATACCTTACCTAGAGAATGTATATTTTATGATGAGAATGTGTATCCGTTGGATATAATCAGAGGACTGAAAGTTAATTTATCAGTAATTTTTAAGAGTCCATGTTTTGTGATAACCATCTCTAATAGCTAGCTCTTTATTGAACACACTCCTAAAAATAAGGAACCATGACATTGTAGATATTTAATATTGTACAGTATAGAAACCTTCATTTTTGCCTTTGAATGCATATTTAAGAGTTACAGAAAGAAAAAAAGTCTTGTTGAATAATAGTGTTTGACTAGCATTTTAAGAACTTGAGAGTAAAAGCAACAATAGGATTTTTCACCTCTTCCTGCTTCCACCCCCCCACCCCCACCCCCAAACGGAGAGCGTCACTCCTCAATTGTTTGGAAGAAATCGTACGTCTATATAAATTTTATTTATAATGTGTGTATAATATACATAATCATAGTACAGTTCTCAAATAGGGGGAGAAGTTTGGCATATTATTACTGAGGCTTTAGGTTTTTAATATGATCAGACGGGGTCAGCTGAAACCCGAGGATGTCACCAACAGCTCACTGTCCCTCCTGGTACATTGCCATTCCGAGGCATTCGGAGAGCAGGCAAACAACGTTTGCCCTCATGGTACAGTTCTTGGTTTTTCTTAGAGGAGAAATATGGCCCATGTTTACAAGAATCTTCTACAAGATTATAGTCTTCAGTGCTGTTGGACAGTGTCTTGCACTCAAACGAGGAAGTCCATCATGTAGTGACCTTCCCTCTGCTTCCTGTCAGTGTAGTTATTACCTCCTGAAAGCACAAAAGTCAGAACATCGCCGTCTGGAGAATGACAAAGCACTTGGAGTGAGCAAGTAGTTCCTGACCAATGCCTTTTAGAGACGAGGTTCTTGACATTCAGACGTCTGCCCAAATGGAGTGCTGGGTCCCCTAGGCTAGTCATTTCATTTCAAACTAGAACACAGCTCCTTCAGACGGCACCTTTTCACCATAAATCTAACTTCCTCTCCCTGCGGACATTCAGAATTGATAGAACAAACACTACTACTTTGAATTTATGCTGTTTCGTGTCTTTTTAAAGTGTTTTGTGACCCCATGTGGAGCCTGCCGCACTTGGGCAATGCCTGCCAAGGCAGATTCAGACCCCGAGCTCAGAGAGGCAAGAGCCCCCCCACCCATGGGAAGCTGACTCACTTCCGCCGTTTCTCCTCGGGGCTGACCACGGTTACTGCCATTCCTGTTGCCCACTCGCCCAAGGTAACTCGGGACTGACTCCCGGAAGGCCTTTGTAAAATCCGTAGCCATCCCAAAGGCCGGTGGGAGCAATAGTAGCTTCAGTAGCTTCATTTTCCTGTCTTGCTGACAGAGACCCTTGGCTACCACTGTGCTGCTAATAGGATAAGTACTTCATTGCCAGGTTACCATGCCTTTTACGCGAAACCAAATTCGCTTACCTGATACCTGACACTTCTCTGGGCTCTGACCTGCTTTTCTCTCAAGAGCATGCTGGCATTTTAGGCAGAATTCTAGAAAGTTGCAGATGGTGGAAGTATTTAAGATTTCATTCACCTTGCTCCTTTGTTGATTGAAAGGAGCCTTAAATGCTGAGCTCCTGAGATACTGACCACAACCATGGAATGAATGTGTGACCAGAATGTGGCTTTGACACCAAGTGCTGCTGTCCCTTTGTAATTGGCTTCTGATTTGACCAGAAATAATTGATAATGTGAATTTTTGTTACCTGTTCAATTGTAAGACAATAGAATATGTATCACCCCTTGTTAGGTAGACATGAACTTTTCCTGCACGAAGCCTTGCTTGTAGAGGGTGCCCAGTAAGACAAGAAAAAAAGCATAGTAACTTGTGCTTTGAGAGCTCAATATTTTTATCTTAATCAGTACAGAAGAAATTTCTCTGTGTAACTTGATCTTCTATCTAGTACTTGTCTTTTAGGTAACCAACACTGAAAACTTTGTAGTGATGACTACCAAAGAAATACATAGTAAAACAACCTTTTATTTCCAAATTATTAAAGAGCCAGCCATTGACGCTGCTACACGAGTTCCATGCTCAAGAGCCATTGTAAGAAATGAGGGGTTTTTAGGTTTTTGTTTTGTTTCTAGTTTTCTTTATTTCTCTTTAATTTTTTTTTAAATATAAAACATACACACACAGCTGTTAGCATAAAATTATGGGGAGTGTTTTCCAGAATGCTCAGCAGTTGTGGTTAACTGCCAAGCCCTGGTTGCCTCTCGTCAGGCAATTGGAGGAATCCTATGTTCATGGTGGTGTGGGTGCTGTGTGTGTGCACGTGTGCGTGTGTGCATTCATGCCTTAACTCGGGTTACTGCTCAACTTTAGTTCTTGACTTAGTCTGCACCGTCATCTAGATTGTATTGTACATCTCGATCTGAACTTCATCCTGGCAAAAACAAAGCTGCAGGCACAGCAGTTCCAGAATGCATTCCTCCGGAAGCGTATTCAGTCAGGCTGACCCTGAGGCTGCTTTGGACTTTATTTGGAACTGAGCATGGAAAGCAAAGTGGACTGTCAAACAGAAAGACATCAGCAAGGAAGAGTGGAGAGCCAAGTGCTAGCTTGTCTTTTGCCTCTGCACCTCGGTGCACACTGTGTGTTCATGACAGCTGGTCTACAACTTGATGAGGTTGGAGTTGTGGTGATGGTGGCGATCTTGACATTCTCGGTCAGAGTGTAGAGAGATGTAAGACTTCCAATTAATGTCTTATTTACTTCTTTATGTTGATTAGTCTTTGATACATGTGCTGAATCAGAAACCTAAATAAAGATAATTTTTTAAAATGTACCTCGTGAGCCTTCAACCTTATTTCTGTTCTTTGAGTGGGAAAATGAACATTGTTTCCCTGTTGCTTCTGACAGATATCACATTTAGATTCTAAGTACCAAAGGCTGCCTTAGAAAGTAATAAGAGAACACAAAGGGGCTGGTATTGTTCTGTTTCTTTCTTCCTTTATTTTTTTAATTTTTACGGACATGCTTAGAACACAAAGGGGCTGGTATTGTTCTGTTTCTTTCTTTATTTTTTTAATCTTTACGGACATTCTTAGAGAGAGGAAGTGAGAGAGAGAGAGAGAGAAACATCAATCGGTTGCCTTCCATCTGCTCGCCAGCTGCATTTAGTAAGGGCCCAGCAGTTCGTCCTGAGGGGCAAGCACGGTACTTAGCAGGATGCTGTCTTAGGAGCATAGTCTTCAGGAAACCAGTTGTGATACCATGTTAGGAGTTCAAACGGTTTAACCCTGAGCCCCTTTCTATGTAAAAGTGCTAAATAAATCTTGAGCCAGTCTTGACCGACTCTGGCTTAAGCAGGATTCCACGGTAACTATCATAGTTAATTGAGTTTTAAATTTGGTTACTCATGTGGTGAATTGAAATGACCAAAATTTCAAAATGCTTCTCTACTCTTGGCAGCTAGAGTTTAGTGGTAACCAGGAAGTTACCCAGGACCTCAGATTTCCAGTCTTGCTTCCACCCACCAGCTTCGGTTTTCTGGACTGTGTAACAGAGATAGCCATTCTAGTTTCAGGTGCAGTTGCAAGAAAACAGGATTTGCACCAGATGCTTTAACAGCAAATAGGTAAAGTTTAAGCTGCACGAGCACTTGTTTTCCCTTTAATGCCTTTTAGAGCCTGTGTGTTCGTCCACATGTTTCTTCTAAAATTGAAATGGTTGGTTTAGCAAATGTTTTGTGTTTATGTAAAACTAAGTAAATTTGGGTTCTTGTTTTAACAAACACATAAGTTATTTAAGTCAAGGAAATTTTTGGAAATGCAAGGCTTTTGAGTTTGTGAACTGCTAGCGTAGGGTATTTGTGGAATGAGGGAAGATTGACAAGGCTAGAATTTTGAATATGCAGGAGAAAGAGAAAGGAGGGAGGAGAAAGGGCTGAGAGGTGAAAATTAAAGCGCGTTTGGAGGAGGCCTGCCTGGGCAGTTCCTAGCACAAGTCCAGCTAATAATAAAGTGGAATGTCGATTCCCTAAACTAGGTGATGGATACCTGAGAGTTTGTTATACTAGTCTCTACTTCTGTATGTTTAACATTTCCATAATATAATTTTTAGAAATGGAGAGGAAGGGATCAAGAGATTTCTAAGAATGGAAAGGGAAAATGGAGTCTTGGGAAGGTCAGTGCTAGAGATGCCACCATTGAAAATTCTAATTTTTGCAAGAAGGCAGCTAAATATACTTTTAAGAATAGTTTCTTGATTTTTAGAGAGAGAGGAAGAGAGAAGAGAGAAACATTGATGTGAAAGCACAACATCGATTGGCTGCACACTCCCCACCACAGATGGAGCCAGCAACCCGGACAAGTGCCCTGACCAGGAATCCAACCAGCAACCTTTTGGTGTACGGGACGACATCCATCCAACCGAGCCACTCCAGGCAGGACAAGGCAGCAGTATTTCATATACCTCCCTCCAAAATGAGAGACAGGTGAGAAGTTGTTCTGAACTGAGCATAAATTTATGGGTTTATGAGTTGTTGACTCTGGGTAACTGGATTGGCATGATTGATGTCCTGGTGAAGTTAAACAAGAGAATGTTCTCTTTTTTGTTCCCACCTACACGTTTCCACAGGTAATAAGTCTGACATGATCGGGGCTTCCCTTTCTCTTGGAGAAGGCCACTGATTGCAGCTGTCCTGTGGGGTTCCGATTTTTTTAGCAAAGATGTGATGTTGCTGTCATTATGTTTTGGGTTGACTTTATAGAACTTCAGGACCATAATAGGGTTGGGGTATTAAAAAAGGTACCTCAGTAATGAGGCTTCCAAAAGAAACAGTCTACACTTAAGTATGGAATGAGACCCCATTAGTACACATGAGTTTAAAAATGTGATTAGGGAGAGGAAATCATTGGGTTTTATTTTACTTGAACTCAATCTCTTTGTGGAAATCTGAGATTCAACTTTTGGGTCTTTTCTCTTGGTGGTTGTGCATGATTAAAATTTAAAATTTTTTAAATTAAAGAAAATGTTTTAAGTGTCCACATGGGTGTGGGAAGCACATTCCTGATGCTCTGAGCTCCATCTCTAAAAGAATCATCACATATTTAATCTTGGCTATTAAACAAAGGGTTCACTAAAAGTAATTAAATAGATGTAGGATGGGGAAAACCTGTAACATTCTCTCCTCTCCTCCTAACTTCTTTTTAAGGCTAAATTTGTTAATTTGACATGGTTCTAGTCTAGGACAGGGACAGTTGAGCTATATAACCAACATAAGTTTGATTACATTCTCCTGGTGCCCATATTTCCAGCCATCTTCCCTTCCTAATCTGAGGAGCTCCCTCTTCCAATTCCAGACCCTCATCTGAAAAGAAGTTCTTAATTCCTTTTATTTCGTTAGTCATAAAAGATACTTTAGACCAGTTCGGCCCAGCCATCAGGAGTTGATTTGCTGAGATGGAAACCGTAGCAGCTTGGAGGGGGAAAGTAGTGATTTCATTTGCAAAGCAAATACCAAGTGATTTTTTTTTTTAAATATTATTTACTCTCTTACTCTCTGTGTGCTTTAGGAAAATAAGTACCTTACATTGACGTTAAGATCCTCAATTGTTAAATAAGTTTTATCACCATTCAGACAAAGTGCAGGTTATTCATGTTAACTGGGCCCATTTTATGCATTGGAGAGTCTCTTCCAATGTTAGAATAAAAATACCCACATTTCAAACTCAGAGCCAGGTTTGACTTGAAATTCCTATGAGCCTGCACCAAGAGTTACATTTTTCTTTGTTTTTGCACCATAAATGGAATTATCTATAAGCATGTTTGAGCCCGTTTCTGTCTCTGAAGGAAAGTTCCGCTTATATATAAACAGGGTGCCAACACTCATCTTATCTCTCCAGGTTAATCAGTTTCTAAGAATTATACTTCTTGAAGATTTACCCTCTGGTCCAATCTGATTACAAGGAGACCAGAGTAAATTCATTTGATAGGTGTGGCTTCTTTTTTTTCTTCTTCGTCAAAACATGCTTTTGTTGTAGCTACTTATCTATATTTTCAGAGGATGGACACTAGGACCTGATTTCAGATACTGGCTCTGACACTGAGGTCCTTGGGTAAACTGCATCCCACTTGGAGTCCGTCTCATCTTCCTCGTCGAGTTGTGTGGAATAAATGTGTCACTATATAGAAAGTTCTTACAACAGGGACTTAGAACTCAGGACAAGTTAAGCTCTCAATATATGCAGGCTGTTACTATATATTCTTGCATTCCATGGCTTTACAGCCCCAGGACTGTGCTGATGATAGATGTCAAATTAGCTTGTCATATCCCTAAGTTTTTCTTGGTCAACATTCACTTTCTGAAAATGCAATTTTACAAGAAGACAATTGCGTTCTTCAAAACCGACCTTTTCTTTTTCTTGGCAGTAGTGGTGAAAAGATGTTGGATTACCTTTCAGAACTTTTCTGTTTTGCCCAATCTGATTTGGAACGCTGTGCTTCTGTGCTTCTTCTTATCAAGTTCTCACCTTGAAAAGGTGATGACATATCTGAGAGGCTGGGCCAAACGCTCCACCACTTGCTTCTATCAGCTACACAACCTTCCCTCAACTTGCCCAGAAATGGAAACCGGGTGGGGCAGAGACACTGCACAAGAGTTTGATAACTGATCTTTATCACTTCCTCCTTTTTGTCCCCCACATGCCCAAGCCAGTCTCATCTCTTTAAAAGTCCTGGGCTGATTAAGGACAGGAAGTTAATTTCCTGATAAGTGTTATCAAGGACCAAAGGGCAGTTCCTTGGGGGCACGTTGCCAGTTACCTTCATTTGCATGAGCCTCCCTGCATGAGCCTTCCTCCAAGAGCTCCGTAGCCACCCTGGACCCTGTGTAATCCGCTAGTACCAACCGTTGCCAGTTACCTTCATTTGCATGAGCCTCCCTGCAAGAAGCCAGTCACCCTTCCTCCAAGAGCTCCATAGCCACCCTGGACCCTGTGTAATCCACTAAGTACCAATGAGATCAGACTCTCTCCCACTCCAGCTGCATTTGCAGAGATGTCTGGAGCCTGGCGTGTGAGGAACACTTCCTTCTGCTGCTCCAAGGGCAATTGGAGGGGCCCTGAGCTTGTGAGAAGGGAATGTGTTGCTTCTTGAATTTTATTGTTTGAGGATTTGCTGGGTTTTCTTACTACAGGGACTCTCATTCAACACACAGTTATCATCAAGCCAGGTTCTATCCTATATAATAAAAGCCTAATATGCAAATTGTCCCCTTGACCAAGAGTTCAACCAGGAGTTGACATTTTTCCTAATCCTATATAATAAAAGGCTAATATGCAAATTGTCCCCTCGACCAGGAGTATGACCAGGGAGCGGAACCGGCTGACCAACTGCCTGCGGCCCCTCCCCCCAGCCAGCCCTGCCCCTGTTTGGCCTCCCCCCCCCCATTGGGGGGCAGGGCAGGCCAGCCAACCAAGGGAAGGGAGGCCCCAGTCGGCGGCTGCTAGGGACCCTACCCGTGCACGAATTTCGTGCACTGGGCCTCTAGTTTAATATAAATAAGTCAATAAACAAACAAACCTCCAACCAGCTTTTTGAAATGAAATTGGGGAAAAGATGCTTAAAAACAGCTTGAATACGCAATTCCATAGGGTGTTTTTCATCTCTCTCCCTCTTTTTTTTTACACATGTCCAAGTCTGTGACTTTTTTATTCATGCCCCCCACCAAGTGTAGCCAAAGCAGAAATAACGGGCCCCGACTCTGGGTTACACCCTCCAAGTCCCCTACCCCAGACACACTCCTGTGAGGCAGAGATGTATAAAGTACTGATGTGTGATGATGGTCTGGGGAAGGCCAAAGGGACCAAGAGCCCCACCCCTGGACCCAGGCAGCAGCAGGAGAATTTTCCTCTGGAGGGAGAGCAGGGCCAGCCTCAGGTACCCAGAGTGCTCGGGGGAGGCAGGGCCTGCCACCACCAGCCCTGGGGTTGGGGGATTGGGAAACTCCATGCAGTTCCTGGGCTGGAGGGACACGAAAAAGGGAGCCTTCAGCATGTAGCCTTAAGAGGGTGGGGATGGGGACAGAGGGTGCTTCGAATCCTTGTGGAGGGAGAACTGGTGCAAAACGGGGGAGGCCTTGGGTATCTCAGAGAATGGGGTAGCCCCTGTGGTGCTTATTCTTTCGGAGCTGGAGGCCAGCCGAGTGGCCATCTCCAATACCTCCCACAGGGGAAGGCCAAAGGGACCAAGAGCCCCACCCCTGGACCCAGGCAGCAGCAGGAGAATTTTCCTCTGGAGGGAGAGCAGGGCCAGCCTCAGGTACCCAGAGTGCTCGGGGGAGGCAGGGCCTGCCACCACCAGCCCTGGGGTTGGGGGATTGGGAAACTCCATGCAGTTCCTGGGCTGGAGGGACACGAAAAAGGGAGCCTTCAGCATGTAGCCATAAGAGGGTGGGGATGGGGACAGAGGGTGCTTCTGAACCTTGTGGAGGGAGAACTGGTGCGAAAGGGGGGAGGCCTTGGGTAGCTCAGAGAATGGAGTAGCCCCTCTGGTGCTTATTCTTGCGGAGCTGGAGGCCAGCCCGAGTGGCCATCTCCAATACCTCCCACACCCCCATCCTGGGTCTTGGCTGAACACTCAAGGTAGCCACAGGCACTGATCCTGGCCTTCCTCAGACGGAATGGGCTCCTGCTTCACCTTGGCCAGCGCTCTCCTGGTATGCTCCTCTTGCCTCCAGTCCTTCTTGCCCACGAAGATGATAGGCACGTTGGGGCAGGCAGAAGGGCTTTATTCTTCATTCACCTCCGGGGTCCCCTTCTCAGGAATGTTTCCCAGGCTGTCGGCGCTGTTGATGAGGATGTCATTGTCAGGGTGGGAGAGAGGCTGGAGGTGATCATAGTCTTCCTGCCCTGCTGTGTCCCTGCTTGCCCTCGCCTCGGTGTCTACGATGTAGTTCTCAGAGGACGGTAGGGACCTGGACCTCGGGAACTGGTCCTTGCGAAGACCATGCGGAGGCAGGTCTTCCCACTGGCCCCTCCCCCACAACCACAGCTTCTTTGGGACCAAAACCACTGGGGCTTCCTCCGCCACCTTCAGCTGTGAGGCTGGGGCCGGAGGCAGAGATTCTGCTCTTCATTTCTTATACTCAATGGCAGTGTTAGACTGCAACACTTTTTTAAAGAAAGGTAAGACATAAACCTGAGAGATCTGCCTCCAGCAACAAAAATGGGCGCGAGGGGCAAAGTATTCAAGTTTGTGTAACACTTATGACATGAAAATAAATGGAACAAAAGGAATTTGCCAATGTGAGGTGACACATTATTTTGGGTGGGTGTGGAAGCCCTAAAAGTTCAAAAGCCCCCCCCCCCCACCTCCCTCAGGGCCTGAATTTTCCTTATTGATCCTCTTTATGAGTTAAGAGCTGTGATGTGAAAGGCAGAAATTTTACCCCTGGGTAGGACCCATTTCCTGGATTGCAACGGGGTGTGTTGGAAAGTGCACACACTTGGCCACTGGAGACAGAGTTTCAAGTCTCCCTCGGCCACTTGCTCACTCGCTGTGGCCCTGGGCCAGTTCCTCAGCGTCTCTTGGCATTAGGAGTCTAACTCTGAGTCTGACGCATAGAAAGTGCTCACATATTCCTTGTCTTTCTGTATCTTTCCCACCCAAATTTCCTAAACCAGAAATCTGGGGGGCGTCCTTAACTGCTTGCAATCTCTTCCCACCCAATTCTAGCCAGGCACAAAATCCTGCCAATTTTGCCTGCTAAAGGCTGCTCAATCCTACTCGTCCCCTCCATTCCTGTCCCAAGTCACTTCAGTCCTTATCACTCCTGGGCTGTTGTAGAAAATAGTTTCCAGCTGCTTTTCTGCCCTGACCTGCTCCACTAACCCCAACCCCACAAATCTTTGTAAAGAAAAGCTGACCACATTGAGCCCCTGCTGAGAATAGAAGCATGAGCCCCCAGCTGGCCTATAGGACGAAGTCTTTAATATAATAAAAATAGCAAGCACTTCCCTAGTTCTTACTCTTGTTCTTTTAAATGTTCCCCGCATGTTAACTCAGTCCTTGCAACAACTTTATGTGAGGATGACTGTTAAGATCTTCATTTTACAAGTGAGGAAACTGAGGTATAGAGAGGTTAAATAACCTGGTTGGAGTTAAACTGCTAGGAAGGATGAAACAGAATATTAAAGTTGTTTTTTTTTAATGCATTCCTGCTTAATCTAATTTTATCTCTGGCCATTTCTGCCTTGTTCTTTGTCTTCCAGCAATGCAAGCTACATGCAGTTTACCCTCCCCGCCCCAACTCTTCCCATAGTTGCTCCTGTTAAGAGCTCTCCCTGGAATGCCTTTCCCTGTTGACTCCTTGGTGAATTTCTACCTCTCTTTTGAACTTGGCCCTGGCATCACCTCTGTCATCAGTCAGTCTTCCCACCTGTTGCCCTTGTGCTCTGCACACACCTCCAAACATCTGAGGGGCTGCTTTATGTTAGGAATGGGACAGACAGTGGAAACCAAGGTCTAGAAGTGGTCATCAGGATCTTATGTTCATGTTGGGGGAAGAGGCAAAAAAGCATTACAAGAAAGATAAGCAAAGTGCACTCTGGGAGGACACGTGGGTCAAGGAATCCATACTAGGTTGTAGGGGGAAACCCTCCCAGAGCAGGTAATGTTGAAACTAGGATTTCACTGATGGAAAAAAATCCACAGTGAGGAACTGAGGGAAGAAAAGTTTGCTAGACAGAAGGAATGGCATTTGCAAGCTCAGTGCCAAGACATGGTATAGGTTTGGGGAAATTGTTGAGTGTGTTCATCTATTTCCTTGTCTTGCCCACTTGGCTGAGTTCCTTAAGGTTGTCAAGTCCACCCAGCCTGGCTCAAGGAGGTTTCAGTAGACATCAGACTAGAATTCAAACACTGGAATCTCTGGGTCCCCTCTCTCCTCATCTGTTAAGGGCAATGTTAGGAGACCACTAAAGTCCTTTGGAATTTCTGAGATTCTATGAATCACATATAAGGAAAAGAAGTCAAGCAGAGGGCCTCATTTTAAGAATTGCCTGAGAGTCCTTGGCTAGTAGTCACATCACTCTAGCATCTGTTTCCTTTGTCACATGGTATTCCCAAAGAAGGCCACATTCACAGGTTAAGACGTGCACATATATTTTTGAGGGACACAGTTCAACCCACAATAGCTGATAAGTGGTGGACTGTGGTGCTGAACTACTCCCTAGTCATCTGCAGAATGGAGTGTTTATGCCTCAAGATAAAATTCTTAAATTGTATCTTTAAAAAACTTCTCTTTGTGTTGTACAATGAACAAAATATTTTGCCATAGTATGTGGATAGGTTCTTAAAAGATACATATATTCAGTGGATACTCAAAAATATTAAATTGACCAGAGTATTTAAAAAAATTTAGGTTCTATTCCTACTCTACGCACTCTCACCCATCTATTAAATCAGTGGTCGCTGATTTATTAGTTTTTCTTTTTGGCAATTACTTCAGCAGAATAACACTCCATTGTGTGAGGTTTGTAGTGAGGGGCTCCCCAGCAGTTAGTTGAAAAAGGGTTTAGTTTGATAAAAGGACAGTTACCAGGCCTGAGCCAGGGCGACAGGCAGCTAGAACCTAAAGAACATGGCAATTTGATGAGCATTTGTTTACTTCAATTTATATCTTTATATATTTCAGTAACTTATGTCTTATCATCATTTTTCTTTCAACACTTTGTACAGAGCCAGTGTTTAATATAGTTTAGATCTGAAGACACACTGTTAGTAGTCCAAACAATTTAATGTCAATTGCTGGGAGTAGTGGAGGTATAAACTTGGACTTTTTTGAAATACGGCTTTCAAGAGAGGACAGCCTCTACAAACCAGTAATCCTGGTCAGGATTACACTCTCTTCTTCAGACTTTGCTTCTGTAGGTTCCCAAGATCCACCTCCCTGCCCCCAACACACACAACCCACACATGCACACACACACACACTGCCACACATGCACACACACACTGCCAGGAATTATTTTGGGATCCCTAAAGGAGAGAGGCGATATGCTCACAAGTAAATAAATCTCAAAAAAACTGATAATGGGCACTTGAAAATCCATTGGTTCATATATATATTTTTAAATGGGGGAAATCAGTGTAAACAGAAAAAAAGTATATAAATTTGAGAAGATAATCGTATGTCCCTGAGAAAGCCTTTCTCAGAAGAACAGAGGATAGTATTACATTAAATGAGTCACGTCATTTTACAAGAGAGTTGAACAGGAAGGATATTTTTGTTAGTTGGTTGGTGAATTCTTAAAGAGTGTTTGACATAGGCTCTAGTGATTGTGAAAGGGCTGACCCCCTCCTCATGGGGTATTTGAGCTCCCGCGTGGGCCTAAGTATAGTTTTCTCATAATTTATCCCACCTGTGTCTGTCAATTCCTTCCCACTTGCCTCCTCCCGTAATGGTCTGGCTCATGTTTCTTCATAAAGCTCTAGGCCAGTTATTAATAACAGCCCAGTGATTCTCCTGATCCACCTAAGAGCATATGGTGTTTTTCACAAAAGAGAGCGATCATCTCCTCAACTTTGGACTTCGCTCCCTAACCCCTGAACAGTAAGTTTTGTGTTTGTTTTTTTTTAAATGTAGCATTTTAAAATGTTGATATAGGAGGAAAGTTTAGTCTGACTTTTCTGTTTCTGGCAGAGAGAGAATACAGTAAGTTAAAACTTAGATTCATGAATCCTATTTCCCTCCCTGCATTTCAGCATCTCTCCAACTTTTATAAAGCTGAATAGCAGATAAATTAATGTATTAGAATTCTAGTCTTTCCATTTCCTTCTAGCTAAATAAAGGCAGGAGGAGAAGCAAGGGATGAATGGTATATAAATGACTTAAACCAGCCTTGTGGCTATGCTTGATATTCCTGTCTCCCCCGTGTTTCCTCTCCAAACAGAGCATTTCCCTGATTTCAAAGAGAAATTTCACACGTGGAAAGTATCACAGGGGAGTGTTGGACAGGAGACGTGGGTCTTGTCATTTTTCCATGTGTGAGATTTGGATCAGAGAGGGCACCTGTCTTGTGCCACGGGTTCAATGCCTTCTTGTTATTTTAACCAAAGGCTTTGTCTTTGAAGCCGTTCTTAACGGTTGCTTCGGAGAGCCCTGCAAAGTAGGTCACTGTGTTTTCTGTCTGGAAAGGAGGTCCCCGCTGCCCAGAACGGCCGGTGCCCAGCTCGGTCCTCATGGGCAGAGATGAAACCTGACTCTCCGGTCCTTCTGCAGGACTATAAATCAATACAGCTTTCGGCTTTGGTTACTTATGTTCAGTTCCCTTGAAATGTGCGTCAGGAGCCTAGATCAAATGTATAAGGGAGGCATTACAGTAAACTGGAAGGAGGCAGATGCCCGCCTGGTATTGAGCCCCCAGCTTGGACCATTCATAGATAGTGTGACCTTACCCAAGAAGTCAGCCTCTCTGAGCCTCCTTTCCTTGTTTGTAAAATAACAGTCATCACCTGTTTTACGGAGTAGTGGGGTTTACTCATAATGAAAGTAAGTGGCCAAGTATGGTAACATTATTTAGGAAATCCCCCATTTGAATTTTTTCTGATTCTTCTTTTTTCAATTAAATTTTTTATTCTTTTTAAATTTACAGTTGATATACACTATTATATTAATTTCAGATGTGCAACCCCATGACTAGACATTTATATAACTTATGAAGTGGTCACCCCAATAAATCCAGGACCTGAATTTTCTCAGTCATCTCATTTGTTTCAAATTTAAACCTAGAACCTTCCATGTGGTATTTGATGGAACACATTAATCTAAGCTATCCTATATAATAAAAGCCTAATATGCAAATTGACTGAACAGCAGAACGACCAGTCGCTATGATGTGCACTGACCACCAGGGGGCATACGCTCAACACAGGAACTACTCCCAGCCCGAAGGCCCTAGGCCAGCCAAGGCGAGTGCCAGTGGAGGGTTCCCCCCACCCACCGATCGCCCCGCCAGTTGCCCCACAGATCAGCCCTGATCACTGGCTAGGCCTAGGGACCCTACCTGTGCACGATTTTCGTGCACCAGGCCTCTAGTAGAGACAATAATTAGCTTTTACTGCTTTTAGTAACTTCATCTTTAGGATGGTGTAGGCTGTGTGAATGCTGAGGACGGGAGCCTTGAAGGGTGGTGTATGATTAGCAGTTCATAACATTAGGCTACAGCTAAGATCAGCGATGGTGGGGAACCTTGCAAAACAATTTCAAAGCATAAGCTATTGTTTGATAAACTTACCTGCTCAACTCTAATCAGCATTCTAAAATTTGTCTCTTGGCTATGGTTACAAAGGACTGGTTGGCCACCTTGCTAGATTTGATTCTAAGTCTGGATGGGACAGAAAGGAGGGTTGTTTCAGGGAATACCCACTTGCCCAAGTGTCACCCTGTAACTCAGGAGATAGGGGGAGTTTTTGTTTTCCTCTATAAGCTTTCCTTCCGCAATCTTTTATTTAATTCCTACAGTGTGCAAAACACGGTGCTAACTTAGCAATGGGCCAATAAGCTCTAACTGTAGAAGATAGAAAACATTTCATGATACAAATCAGAGTGAGCTTGTTCCATGATACATGAGAAGTACGGACAGGATGCTGTCGGTATTCCACAGGGGCCTTCCCACCCAAAACTTATTTACCAGAAATGAGCATTATTGCTCAGACTTCCCCTTGGAAGGCTGTACATTCTTGGAAAACGACTCAGTGATTTACTTGGGCTCACCTCCTATGTAATGAGCTTGTAAGGCACAGAAAAACGGCACCTTAAAGTCATACCTTATCCTCCCCACCCCACATTGTTTTAAATTGAGCGCCTATTTTGTTCCGAGTTCTATGCTAAATGTTGGAAAAATAACTCTGCCTAAAAAGAAGTCACAGACTTTCATTAACTGGAAATTGGGTTCCCCAACCTGGTCATCTATCCTCTCAGCTAAATTGGACTCCAACGAACATTTAGCTAGCATCAGATATCACGCCTGTACCTCCATGAATAAAAAATCACTACCAATGCGTTTATGCAGAGGAGTATGTGTTGCTGGCCAAGAAGATAGCTTAAGAGATTTTGGCAAATGCTTTTTAGAACTCAAACAGGTCCGGAGATTTTCTCCTGTCCTCCACTCACCAACCCCAAACCTGTGATGACACTTGTTTGGATGTATGAATCCTGAAGACAAAAAACAAACACCTCCCCGCCCCGTCCCACTTCTCATTCCACAGAGGATGGGGCTTGGATGGCACTGCTGTGTTGGGGTTTCCTGCTGAAGCCTGGGGGGACAGGGGCCCAGCCAGGGCCTGGGCAGCTCACTGAGCTTGCAAGAGTCCACTACAGCTGTCATTCATGGAGAGGGTTGGGGAACTTGGCAGGAAGTTTGAAAACATTTTGATTCTTTTGGTTCTAGAATATTTCTTAATGTTAAATGCCTGTAGCTGAATAATTTATGTCTTCTTAGGGGCAATGTCCAATCTCCTGTTGGGGCAGGAATGTGGTCACGGGAAATCTCAGCCTTAGGAGTCTTGGTAGTGGATGGTTGAGAGGAGATGTTTGTTCATGTGTAGAAAAATAGTTCATTTTAGGGTTAAAATAGTTACTTAAAACATTAGAGACATGGTTGTAGATGGCTCAGAAAGGCCCAGGCTGGATAGGTGTTGGCATAGAAAGAAGGTGTGGGAGGTGCAGTTGAAGAGAAAAGAAGTAGAGGGGTTCCACCACCCAGGTGTGGGGCCCCCTGTCCGTCTGGAATACCAGGTTTTCCTCTTGTCCACCTGATCACTCACCTCTCTGAACTGTACTTGAGCTGCCATATTTCTGATTCTGCTGCTTCTTCATACCAACCACTATTTTATCCTGTGTCAGGCATGTTGGGCTCTGGTCATAACTTTTTCCAGTCCTGAGATACTGCAGAGACTAAGGCTTTGGAGCCAAACAGACCTCCATTCAAATCCCTGGTTATCCCTGGTGTGTGATCTTGTTACCTAATCTCTCTGGAAATAGGAGTGTTAATAACTCACCTCACAAGGTTTGATGAGATTAGAGTCCAAGTATGTGTAGTCCCTTCTTAACTGTAGTTATGAATAAAATCCTTTCAACCCCCTGGAAGAGAGGCATTATCTCTGTTCTCCAGATGGGGTAGCTGGTGGGGTTAAATGCCTGTCCAAGGCTACAGAGCTAATACCAGCCAGAACCAGGATCTAAAACCAGTTCCATCTGGCCCCAAGACCTTTGCTCGCTCCCCACTCCACCGACCATGTGTGACAAAGCCCAAGTTGTTTTCAGTTGAAGTCCAATTTGTCAAGTTCTGTGCCTAGTGAGTCTGCCCGGCCAAGTTTTCTAGTTTTCACTTGTGACCACCTTTATTCTGGACTCTTTGGTCTCACCTTGGCCTGAATCAAAGAAGTTGGGAGTTGATGAAGGTAGACTATCTCCAAATAGTTACATCTCATGAAACGCAGAATCCAATTTATCAGAAATTTTGAAAAATTGCTGAGGCAGTTAGTTATGTTAGTAGCTCTGAAGGAAAGTAACTGTGACCTCAGACAAGTTGCTGTACTTCTCATTTGTCACATGAGAAGTTTACAAAATTTCACATGTCTTTTCCAGTGCCAACATTTCTGTAATATTTCAGACCCTTCACCACTGTTGGGTTTTTTTTAGCTGGAAAGAGAAAAATTTCCTTGAACTCCTATTTTAATTAGGAAACAAGGTACAGTAATCATGTCTGCAGTCGTTTAAGTATAAAGCCACATGCCATTTATTATGATTCTCATTCAAGCTTTCTCTCATGCAAGGCACATATGATTGATGACTTAATTTTTCAGATGTACATTACACTTCCTTTCTCACATAACTCAGCTTTGGGAGAATCAAATGAAGCTTAATTAGTTCAGAAAATGCAACTTGAACTCAATTTTAGAAATTTACAGAACAAACAAAATCCATTTACTATTAAAAAGGCCCAACTTTTCATTTAAGTTCCGAATGACTCAAATTTCAGTTCATGTCTCCTGCCCTGCCACACAGCACCCATTTCATGAGTCTTAAGGGGACAAATCTTCATTATACCATAGAAACAGTAGCCATCCCAACAGGACACTCCTATCCTAAAACCCGTAGGGCCAGTGCCAAATTTTTGTTGCCTTCCAACAACTTGACTTGGTTTCCTAATTACAAGAAGAAGAAAAAAACCCCACAGAAGTGAAAACACCAACAAGACATAATTACCATATGATTCTGAAGTTTCTAAAAGATACTTTATTGAATATTACTTTTATGGGAAAGAGACCTTTTCCATATAGAGACATATTGAAAACACCCAACTTTGAGATTTTATTTTTAAAATATTTGCTGGGAAAAGTAGACTTAATATACAGGGGTGGGCTAAAGTAGGTTGAATTACCAGCCATCATTATGTAAAAGATAAATCATAAGTAAGGATATGAAATAATAACTAATAATGACAAACTATACAATAATAAATAACAATACAAGAATAAACTCTGTTTTGCATATTAACAGCTGTAAACCTACTTTTTCTCACTCTTATATGTGTTTTTCTTGCTGTA